AGGTAAGGACCTTCCCTTGGGTGACTGAGCGGCGGGGGAGGGGCGCAGGCCTCACCAGGACTCAGGGTCCCGGGGGTCCCGGAGCTTACAGACGGAAACACCACCGTGTTCCAGGCAACAAAGAGCAGAAATCAATGCAACGCCGTCCGGTGCTGTGTTGTCATTCCCCGGAGGCTGGGCTCCCGGGCCCGTGTGCCCGGTGCTCGGTGACCTCACCCAGATGCTTCTACAACCGCACAGGGGAGCTCACACTCCCCACGCGGGGCACACGCCGGCTTCCTCCAAACTGCCGGCCCGCGACGGGGCTTCTTTCCTACTGGGTGGACAGGTAACTTCACTGAGTTGATCAAATCAGCAAGCGGCTTCTGGGGGATGTGGATGCAGCCCCTCCTCCCGCCCCCCGTGGCATGTTGTCTGCAGCACCACCCTGGGTCTTCACCGTCCCACCCCGCCCCAGACGCTCAGCTCCGGTCCCCCCCTCGGCCCGAAGCCCACCTGCCGCCGCGGAGCCGGGCGCCTGCTGGGGCCCGTCCCTGTCTTGTCCCGCCTCTGCACGCTGGCCTCCCACCCGGAAGCCCTTCTCACGTGCCGCACACCCGATCCCGCACCCCTGCCCCGTACGAGTGTGTGTCCCTCGGTGTCCATTCTCCTGCACCTGCGGGGCTCCTGCCCTCAGCTGAAACCAGAAGAGCGATGGTAGGAAGGGAAGGTTTACAGTACGCTTGCTCGAGGCCAGTCACTGCTGTCACCGCACCTAGATCGTCGCGTGTAATCCTCGGCAAACCCAGACGTAGCTGCCCGCTTACCAATGAAGAAACTGAGGCACGGACATGAAGTAAAGTGCCCGATGTCACGGAGCCGGGGGCAAGGGGTCGAGCCAAGATTCGAGCACAGAACTGAGGCAGGAGCCGAACTCCCTTATACGCTGGCCTCTCTGGGGATCCCCTTCATGGTCCCCCCGGCACTCAGGGGTGGGGGGCTCCCCGCTCTGTCCCCTGCCACCCTCCCCGGGCACCTTGGGTGTCTGTGATGTGCTCACATTGCAGACATTAACTGCATGTGTGGCAGCAAATTGCCAACTGGCCGTGAGTTCCTCAGGGACAAGGACTAGGTCTGATTTGTCGCTGGACCCCAACATGTCTGACATGTTGTTGGGGCTCACATTTCACGGTGGTGGCGAATCCTCTCATGGTCCCTGGCCCTGGGCCACCACATACCAGCCAGAGAGGGCCTGGGGCTGGCTCTTCGGACGGCCGGCAGCAGAAAAGCCAGCCCACCCAGCTTCAGAAACCTGGAGGTCGACAGGCTGGGACAGCTGGGCGGTCCAGCGTGGCTGGATTGGGGGCTCGGCGTGGCCTCTGGGCTCTGCTCACCCCTCTTGCGTTTCCTACAGACAAGCAGATTCTTCTCACGAAGGCTCAAGGTTTGCCTCCTCTTGGGTTCAAGTCCTTAAAAAGGAACAGTTTCTATCACAGGCCCAGGCCTCCCTCTCACTAGACCACTGGGGTCATGTGCCTGGAGCAGAAACAACGTCATTGAGGGTGAGATGCAGCATCGATGGACTCACTGTCCTGCCCCAGGGCTCCTTAGGAGGGAGTGAGCTGGTGACTTTGCTGGCAGAGAACCTGAGTCCTCATCTCAAACTGGGCTGTCCCTTTGCGCCCTGAGCCCTGTGACTCACCTAGGCATGGAGCTCTGGTTTAAGAATCAAAGGCCACAGTCCTCCAGGTGCCGGCGAGGGGCTGGCTGGGCTCTGGGGGAAATCACATTTGGGTTTTGACCTGCGCTCACCTGTTTGCAGCCTGCAGTGTAAGAGAAACTTGAGTAGAGAATTGATATGACCAGAGAGTGACATTCTCTTCCTCTCTCTGCCCCACTGAGGTTTCTTGTCCAGGGGGGACAAGGCGAAACTGGCCTGGACCAGCTGGGAGGCCAGCCTTTTACGTCTCACTTTCTCTTGCCACTTCCAGGAAGCTTTTCCTGAGAACTGCATGCAGAGCATGAATAGCCTAGAGAAGGCATTTATATGATCCTTCAGGCCCTACAGGGCAGTGTAATGTAGTGACCGGGGGCAGAGACTTCAGAGCTGGGTTCAAATCCCAGCTCCTCCCCTTACTAGCTTATGTAACCTCCTCTGGGTCCATTTCCTCCTCTGTAAACTGGGAACCAAAGAGTATCAACCTCACAGGGCTGTGGTGAGGATTAAGTCAGTTAAAACACGTAACATGCTTAGAACATGTTGGGTTTGCGCTAAGTGCCATGTCCGTGTTAGCCAATATTGTTACTACGATCAATACCAGGCTGGCCCGGAAACAAAGGTCCTTTGCAAACAGCCACGGGCCTCTCTGACGAAATGTGACAGGGGGAGGGTGTCAGGCGCTGCATCGGGTTCATGAACTCACACAGCTATCCGAACGAGCACGTCTGACCTCACTTCCATTCACATAAATACGAGCTCACGTTTTCTTGCATGAACAAAATAGGAGAGCATTGCCTGAAAAGCTATTAAGGTCTTCGGCTGTGTTAATAAAAGCCAAACGTTGAGACCGAGCTCTAAGTGTTTTTCCCTCTTCTGCGCTCTCATCAGATCGTACCTTGGGTATTTTTCAAATTCCGATTTACATTTTAGGGTAGAGTGTCTGAGAACAAAGGGAAAGCGGGGCTGTAAAGGATTGTGGTCACATGCAGGGAATTGGAAATACTTCCCCAGGCCAAGAGGGGATGTGGCCATCATGCTCACGATGTATCTGAAGGACTCCAGTTTTTCTAGAAGGTGTGATGTCTGGTCTCTGAGTCCTCAGCAGGCACAACTTAACCAAAGGAATAATGCTGAGTTGACAGTGGGCTTATTTGTCACATGCAGGAGAGTTTCAGACATTACAGCTCGGTGATAATGGGACGGGCTACCTTTGGAGGTGGTGGAGGCTTGGTCAAATGAGGTGTGCATGCAAAGCTGGAGGGCCACAAGATCGGAGTGCTCGGGAGCTGGGGTGCAAATGGGCTTCATCATTTCATGTGCCAATCCGGTCAACTGGTGGTAGGCACCTTGCAGACTAGATTCAAAGATTGGACTTGGAGGTAAAGTCTAACTCAGCAGGAAAGAGTCCCCTTATTGATTCGTGATGTCCACAATGGACACAGGAAGGGTAAGTGGTGCCCTGGGCTTTTTAGATTTCTGATCCTGAAGTTGAAGTAGCATTGGGCGGGAGGTTGGGCTCTATAACCTACGTGGTCATGGAAAGCCTTTGGTTCTGTGATTGCATCTTACTGCACCTTACAGAGCAAGTCAAGTTAAAACGAACAGTTCTGGTAGACAGATGAGATGGATGAAGGTCAGAGAGGTTACTTTTGCTCTAAAGTCACGGTGAATAAATAAATAAACAAATAAATAAATAAATAAATAAATAAATAAATAAATAAATAAAGTCAGGGTGCCAAGCCAGCCACACCAATGGAGAGTCTCCTGCCTGGCCAACCCCACACCCTAGATGCATTCTCGAGCCTGGAATTTCCAGCAGCAAGTGGAACTTGAACCAACCCTGGAAGTCCGAGCACCAGGTCTGTAGGCCGGGGCTTTGGAGTCAAGCAACCCTGGGCTTCTATCCTGGCACTGCCACGTATGTGCTGGAGGGCCCTGGGTGAGTCACTGTGCCTCTCGAGCTAAGAAATGGGTGACAGCGCAAGCAAAATCATGCCTGCCTTCCAAGTTTATCAGGATTTCAGGTCAAGATGGGATGGCAGCGATCGGGTTTACCTGCCTGCACAAAACCACAGCATAAACCAGACCAAATATACTAAACAATGGTTTTTAAGACATGGGCCACCAGCCAGTGAAAGAGTTTGGTCCCCAGAGAAACAAGAGGCACACATGGCAGGCCCTGTAACTGCTGTTGAAGATTTTCCAGACTCCAGGTCCGGCAAAGATTTCCTAACAACATCAATAACATAGTCTGTTAAAGAACAAATTGAAAAATTGGACTTCATCAGAATGGCAGACTCATGTTCTTTGAGAGGTACCATTACGGGGATGAAAAGGCAAGACAAAGGCTGAGAAAAAAACATCCACAGATCGTACATCTGCTAAAAGACGTATCTGGAATATATGAAGAATTCTCAAAACGCGGCGGGAAGAAAATAAACAACCCAATTAAAAAGGGGCAAAGGATTTGAGCAGACATCTCACCGAAGAAGATGTAGGGATGGCAAATGAGCACACAGGAAGACGCTCAACATTATTAGACACAGGGCGTGCCAATTAAGGCCGCAGAGAGGCCAACGGACTTGTTAGCACGGCAGAGCAGGAGGCGGGCCACACTGGGCACTGCGAAGATGTGGGGCGATGGGAAATCATGCACACAGCCGGTGGGAACGTGAATCGGTGCACGCGCGGCAGACGGGGTTGGCGGTTTCTTAAATTAAACATGCACGCACCACATGATCCAGCCACTCCAAGAGCAAAGAGAGCAAGCATCCGTACTCGGGCGTTTTACACACGTGTGCACAGCAGCTCGGCTCGCCAACTGTCAAAAACCAGAAAAGATCCAAGGTCCATCAACAGGTGAATGGGTAAACGTCCTGCAGAACAGCCACAAGACGGACCAGGAGCCGTCCGTGCAAAGCAGGGAGTGCTGATACGCGACCCAAGGTGGTCCACCTGTGAAACGATCAGCTGAGGGAGAGAAGCCACACGAGACGTAGCGCATACCGGACGGTTCCGTTTGTCTAATATATATGCTAGAAAATGCAAACTAATCCATGGTGGCAGAAAAGCAGATCAGTGATTGCCTGGAAAAGGCAAGGAGAGCGAGGAGGGGGAAATTAATTATGAAGGGGCACAAGGAAACTTCTGGAGAGTGATGTATATATTCATTATGTTGATTGTGGCGGCGGCTTTACAGATGCATCCACACATCAAAATACATCCAGTGGATCACTTTAAGGATGTGCAGCTTCTTGCGTGTAAATTATGATTCAATAAAACAATTACAAAAGGAGGGGAAACGAATTTTATTCAGATTATTAAATGATGTAATACCCAGTGGCTCCCATTCATCTCTGTGGTGTTTGGTGGAACTTTTACTACAAAGGGTGGAGGGTGGGGCTCACGCCTGTGCCCCGGAACCGGTGCCATCCACCCCCTCAAACACTGACCAGGGCCAGACAAGCCCCTTCCTGTCATCCTTCCCCTCCCACCCCGCAGCATGCTGGCACATATTTTCCTACCTGAGAGCTGGGGGGAGGGGAAGCTTTGGAAGTAGCCCTGGGGAAGCAGGTGGCTGGGGGAGGGGAGGAGGGGCTCACCTGCATCACCTTGATTGAAAGGCTGTGCTTGGCCTGCGCCTGACTCTCATGGCAAAGTCCCCGGGACGAGGTGGCCTGCTCTCCCCTCCGCCCCCAGAGGCGGCTGCTGATCCTGAGGCTTGCTCTGCCCAGCATCCCCAGTTATTCCCCTGAAAAGCCTGCTGACGACTCATGTCACCCAGATAGGATGCCCGCTGGCCACCAACTGCGCCTCAGAGTACGGGCATCTCTGAGCCCAGATGGGTGGGTGGGTGGGGGGGGGTTCATGGAGCAAGTTTAAGGGTGAGAGCAAGAGCTTTAAAGCCAGAGACCAAATCTGGACCTTGGCGGTGCTGACTCTTCCCAGAGAGTTAACACAACCTCTCTGACCCTCAGTGCCCCAGGGGGTAAAATGTACTCCTTGAAGGGTCACCGTGAAGATGAAATATTAATAATAGCTGTGGAAGGACAGGATGGGTCCATGTTCAAGGACAGATAATAGACTGAAAGTTATCCACATCAAATCCCCCAAACCTGTGATATAACCTTACTTGGAAAAAGGGTCTTGCAGACCAGATTACATTAAAGGGTCTGAAAATGAGGAGATAATCTAGAGGGCCCGGGTGGGCCCTAAACCCAGTGACAGGTGTCCTTCAGAGAAAAGCTGAGGGAGATTGAGACCAAGAGAAGTTGCCGTGAGGCCGGGAGCAGAGGCTGGAGCGCTGGCTGCACCGGAGCTGGAGGAGGCAAGGATGGGATCTCCCCCGGAGCCTCTGGAAGGAGCGTGCTCTCGCCCACGTCTTGATTTTGGACTTCTGGCTTCCAGAACTAGGAGGAAATGAACGTCTGTGGTTTTCAGCCACCCAGGTTGCAGTAACTTGGCTACAGCAGCCACAGGAAAGTAACACAGGTGCTTTGGGACAAAACAAATCCGAGCTTCATTCAGTGCCAGGCCATCAGAGCCGGGCTCCCCAGGGACCCCTCACTCAGCATGACGGACGTGTCAGGCCAGGTCATTCTCTGTTGCTGTACTGAGGGTAAGTCGAACCGGCACATTTAATTAACCTGATGGAAGGGCGCCTGGGTGGCTCAGTCGGTTAGGTGTCTGCCCTCTGCTCAGGTCATGATCCCGGGGTCCTGGGATCAGCCGGGTGTCAGGTTCCCTCCTCACTGTGGAGTCTGCTTCTCTCTCTCTCTCTCTCTCATCAAAAATAAAATCTTAAAAAAAATAAATAACCTGATGTAAGCTTGTCACATGTTATGCATTCAACAAATGGCTGGGTTTTTTTTTAAGTTATTAATCATTTATGCATTGGTACTATTTTTAGCACAATCTTAATTAGCATGATAAACACTTAACACAATGCCTGGCACAGATTAGGGCCAAAATAAGATAGAAATGGTGGTGATAAAATAGAGTGACATATGGAAAGTTCTTAGCATGGTGCCTGGCCCACAGAAGATGATCAAACAAACAAAAAAAGATGATCAAACAGTATTACCTTCATTCCTTCTTCTCCAAAGCCACAGAGGGAGTTAGAAGCTTTTGGATGAGAGCCCAGGTCTCCTGTCTCATAGTCTAGAATAATCTGTTTTGCTGTGTCATTCACTGAGCCCCCACCCACCCTCTGTACTAGACAGGCTCTGACAGGGATCATGTTGCATAACAAACAGCACAGGCTCTCGCTGACTTACAATCGTGGCATTTATTCTCATGCTCCCGGGGGCCGGCTGAGCTGTGGTTTGGCTGGTCTAGGCTGGACCCGGCAGGGCTACTGCATTCTGGCTACATGATGGGCTCAGATCTGCCTCCTGGGTGGTCATTCTGGAGCCCACCCTGATGGGGCAACGGCCACCCTGAGCATCTCTTGCTCGTGTCAGGTCAGAGGAACACAAGAAATACAGCCACTGATGCATGCATATTTAGGGCCTCTGCTCAGGTCACACCTGCCAACTTTGCCTCGGTCAAAGCAAGCCACATGGTCAAAGCAAGCCACATGGTCAAAGCCACATGGTCAAGCTCCACATGGGTAGATGGGATGTTCTAGGACAGTGGGAAGAAGGAAGGGGAGAGAATGTCTGCTGAACAGTACTCCAAAGTCTCCCGCCCTATTCCAGGAAGGACCTGCATTAAAATACCCGGGATTTGGAGAAAGGAAGCAACGTGGCTGCAGAGAGGAGCAGCCAGTGCAGGCATGGACTGGCTACGGCTCTGCAAGAGCAGAGAGGAGGGGGAGGGGGCCGAGAGCAGAGAGCGACGGGTGGGGGGGCGGGGGGGGAGAAGTGGATGAAAGTCCGAGCTTTGGAAGTATCCCTGGGGATGCCAGCAACTTGGGTCCCGACACACTGGCTGTCCCCTTCCTCTGGTCTCTTTTCTGCAGCCTCCCCCCACCTTCCAGTCTGGGACCACAGATGCTCACTCCACCTGCAACTCCTATCAATATCTAATTAAGTCTAATTGGGCAACAGGAAAGGACAGAGGCAGAAAATGCGGCCAAAATAATAAATAGGGTCTAGCTGCGATTGATCAACCCCTGACCACAGGCCGGGCAGGGCTCCTGAGCCAGGAGCTAAATTCTCTGGGAAATTATTCCTTTGCTGGAATTAACTCATGTGGGTCTCAGGAATCTTTGAGGGAGGCTCTATGACATCACCATGTGGTGTGATGCAAGGGCCAGAGACCTGCTTGTCCCCAAACACCACCGCATCTCCACCCCACCTTTGTCTGAACTGCCCTGGCCCCTAGGGCATCCCTCGGGCTCTGTCTCGCCCTCCGTAGGTGGGCTGTGGGACTGCAACGCCTCATCTCGCCTCCACCCCCTTGGAGTAAAAAGAGCCCTTTATAGTTTGCGGGTTTTCCCCTATCTACAGTCCTCAGTAAAATCTACCAGATGTACGTCACATTCATACTATGCATCAGATGCCTTGAGGGGCACTGAGGTGCCACCGTGAACAAGAAAGACACAAACCTCGTCTACGCGCTCACATCTGACGGTTTAGTGCACAGACGTTAAAACGGGCAACACGTTCTGTGGCCACCGCTAGGCCGGGATGCACAGGCGGCCCTGGGAACACAAAGATGGGCCACTGGTCATCAGAGCGAGCTTCCTGGAGGAGGTGACATCTAGTGGAGACGGTGGTCTGGACTGGGTGTTGGCCGGATGAAGGGATTAGGGCAGGGGCAAGGACAGCGGGGTCAGGAGCTAGTCCAGGGAGAAGAGGTGGTTGTGCTTGCAGTCCCTGGGGCCCCGTAGGCCAAGTGCTCGGCCCAGGGCCTGGTGCACATGGTGGGAACTCAGGAGGCGTCAGCTCTCTGTAGCCTTACGTTTATACCTATTATCCGGATTCCCAACTGCTCTGAGTCATTCGGGACAGGAACTCGTGAGGAAACCAGAGCTCAGAGCAAGTGGAAGCTGCCTATGGTCAGGGGGTGGGCTAGTGGGGGGTCTGGCCTCCCCCAGGGAGGCCACGTCAAGGGGAGCCCAGGGATTGATCGCAGGGGTCAGGGGATTCTGAGTAACAGCCTTGGCTCTGCTAGGAAACCACCCCCTCTCGCTGGAAGGCTGCCTCCCGTCCCCGGCCTTGGTGTTCCCAACTGGAACAGGGTCCCTTCTAGGCCCTGGGATCACCAGGAGTCACTGCAAATGAGGACGATTTTCAGGCTGCTGTGAAGAAGCGAGCTCGATCCTTGTTCCCTCCCGGCCACGTGTCTGCGTGATGGACACTTCCTCCGCTCCCCACACCCCGCGTCCCCCTGATCCAGAGGAGAGGGGCAGGGCGAGGGCTCTGGAAGGCAGAGCTGTGCCATCATGCGCAGGACCCTCCAAAAGCCATGTGGCCCATCCCAGCATAGTCCAATGTTACTGGGTGGCTTCACAGACTCCCTCAACCTTCTCAAGCCTCAGTTTCCCCATCTGTATTATGAAGAAAGTCATTGCTACTTCTCTTCCTCCCAAGATTCTTTGGAGGATTGGCACGGGAATGAGAGGGCCCGGTGGCCAGCCCCTCCCTAACCAACCCGGGGACCATCCGGCAAGGTCTTCCCCTAGCCTTCTGCCACCGCGGGCCTGGGTTCTGTCCCCTTGGGACTCCTCAGGGAGACATCCTGCCTGTGGCTTCCTGGACAGAAAATCCCTGGCCAGAAGCTGCCTTCCAAGGGCAGTGAGTCTCCCTCGAGATCTTGGCTGGGAGGTGGAGACAAGAGCCACCTGTGGTTCCCAGAGACCCTGGGGGATGGCGCTGGCCGTCTCCCTGCTGCTCCCCATGACCAGAGGCCTCACGTGTCCCCAAGTCACCACTGTGCTTGACACATCTGACCCACCTTCCAGGTGTGCTGCCCACCGGCCACCACCATCTCACTCTTGTGCGCTCCTGGCAGCACGGAGGGCTCAAACAGTTCGTTCTCCCCAGCACTTCTCCACCCAGGGCACAGCAACGTGGACGGAGCAGGCCTCTGGAGGACCGGGATCGCCTCCTGCCGAAGTCATAGTAGAAACACGCAAGGCCGAGGCAGGGAGGCAGCTGGGCGCCGCTTTCCCGTCTGCCCGTCTGTCCCCCCTGCAGCCTGGCCGTGCGTCTCCGCTGGCCCCTGCACCTGCCAGCTCCCCGCGTGGTCAGGGGATGTCAATGGGGAAAAAGGAAAAGGAAAAACAAAAGCTGATGGCTTTCTGATGCCTGCTGACACAGATTCACGTTACACTTACTTTTCCTTTTCCTGCGTGGAGGAATCGGTTGGATCATTTTCACCAGAGCCTGCCCTTTGTCGTTAGCTAAGGGTCAGTGGCTGTGTTGAGCTCTTCACACGCTTTATCTCATTTAATTTTCGGGGCTGCACTACAAAGTTGGTACCATTAGACACACCATTTACGGGGGAGGAAATTGAGGCACAGAAAGGTTAAGCGATTTGCCCGAGGTCACACAGCTACGGAGGCCCGGAAATAGGCTGCCAAGCCAAGACTGACTTCAGGGTCCTTGCTCCACTGCCTCACTGCACGTGGTTCCCGCCACACGGTTCACAGCAGAAGGGAAGGACTACTCATTAGAACAAACGGGGTCAGTGATTTCCCCAAAACATGCCCGGCCACAGTTCCATCTTAACTGGGCACCCCAGGCAGTTAGGAAAAAAGCATTGGGATTAAGGTAAGCAGGTGAGGCAGGATCCTGCAGGATTAGATCTTACCTTTATTTAAAATTTTGATATTTTGCTCATCATAGGTTTTTTTTTTTTTGCATTAAATTTGGTATCTTAAAAGATTGCATTAAAATAGAATTTCCCTTACACTGACTTTTTTTTTTCCCTTACATTGAGATTTTTGATACCCCCTGCAATTTTGCCCTGGAGGGGACCGCCCCTCACTCAGGCCCTGGCGCTGAGTTACAAAGCCCCACCTTGGCATCCATGCTGGGTCAGGAGCAGGTAATGTGAGCATGAATACAGAGCCCCCACCTTGAGCCCAAAGCCTGGTGGAGGTGGGGGGGGGACGGTAAATAAGTAGATGTGATTTGTGGGGAGCAGCACCTAGTAGCTTTAAGGACACCTGTCATCAGTGCTGGGCCAGAGTCCTGCCCCTTTACCCTACTAGCTGAGGGAGCTCAGGCAAGTCACTGAACTTGCCCGGGCCTCAGCTTCCTCAGCTTTAGAATGAGATAAATGGCAGTACGTAGCTCACATGGGGGGGGGGGGTGCATGCAGCAGTCCACACAAAGCAGTTAGAGAACACTGAACCAAAGGACACTCTCACTGTGTGGTGGCTGGCGTTGTCATCATGATCTTGTGAATAGTGAGTGTGAGCACCTGGCGAATCCGGAGGCGGGAGAGCTGGAGAGGGCTGGAGTCACCTGCTGGTGAGGTTGGGGGGAGGCAGGACTCCAGGTAGAGCTCCACCAAGATTTTGGTTTGGAGCAGGTGGGGAGGGCGTGGTGTACTGCAGAAAGGATATGACGGCAGCCTCCCCAGATAGTTTTCTAAGTTAATCAACTTATTTTTAATTGTGGCAAAATATACATGACATGAAATGTGTCACTGTAACCATTTTTATGAGTGTAGTTCGGTGGCATGAAATACAGTCACACTGTTGTGCTACCATCATTGCTGTCCGTCTCCAGAGCTCTTTTCATCTTGCTAAACTGAAAGTGTGCACCCGTTAGATACTAAAACATGGAAAGAGAGACGTAAGGTTGGAGGATGGATGGATGGGATGGACGGACAACGGGTGGATGGGTGGACAAACGGATGGCTGAGCACAGTTGGGTGGATAGAAGGACGAAGGTCAGTGCCAGCACGCAGGTGCATGGATTGACAGAGTCAGATGGGATATGGTCCAATCCCAGAGTAGCTCACAGCCTCGTAAGGAGAGAGGACAAGCCCTCCCTAGAAAGAGGGTCCACACTGGACAAATGCCACCAGGAGGGCATGATGATGCCAGCTGAACACGCAGACACCACCAGCCTTCCCAGCAGCCCTGTAACCAGGTGGTGAGTGCTGATGAGTGTCTCCTTCTCAGGTGGAGGTAAGAGGAGCCGGGCCCTCGAGACCGAGGCCGTAGCCTATGCAGAGGCCAGAGACAGGAAAGCAAAGGACAGACAGGCCATTCTTGTTTGAAAAGTAAAGCACTGCCAGTTGTTAATCAGGTGACACCAGGTTGCCTCACCTCCCCTGAGCCTCAGTTTTCAGAACTGTGAGGGTTATGATGGCATCAGTCTCTGGCCTGGTTGTGAGAATCGAGTAAGAACACAAAGCATGAAGCTCAAAGTTCTCAGAAAGTACCATCTCTTCTGAACTGCCCGCCCACCCTCGGGTCCCCTCCTCCTGGGGTGTGCAGGCTGCCTTTGGCCAGTCTGGGAGGGGCCCCTGGCACCACACAGGACTGAACCCCAGGGCAGCCAGGCCACTGACTTCCTCCTGGGAACCCCCCACCCCCAGTGCCGATTGGCTGAGGTTCCCCCCTCGAACCCCTTCATTATTCTCCAACATGCACCTGCCTTCACTTTATTCATGAAGATTTGCATCGATTTTGCCATAAACCGTTATGAATTCAGCTTGTGGAAAAAATAACATTGATCCTCTGCCTCGTAATTTGTCTCTGGGCTGCAGGGCCTGCTAATGGCTTTCCCAGAGATTTATGTCGGGGGGGTAGGGGGGGGCAGGGGACATGGCTCCAGTCACCCACTCCACACCGCCACCTTTGCTCTTAGGGTTTTCTTTGGGGACCTGGTCCCTTTGGTTGAAAATGGTCCGGTTTAGCGATGCTGGACCAGAGGCCCTGCCGGCTGTCACCTGCTCCCTGCAGGGGAAGGGAGGAGAGATGGAGGTGGGGGAAGGAGGAAGCCCAGAGAGCCAAGCAAGGCAGGGAAGTAACGTTCCCCGAGCGGCCTCCACAGGCCCTAGTGCTCTGAACTTCTCCTACCTTCTGTGAACTTCGTAAGGACAGAACCGGTGTCCTTAGCTCCATGTGTAACGAGAAACTGAGCTCGGAGAGGCTGAAGCCACGGCGAGAGCCACACACATGCAGGGGCTCGGGCCAGTGCTGCAGCCCAGATGGGGCCGAGATGCGGCTTCCTTCCTGCCGGGGCACCCGGAGAGTCACCCTGCCCCGCATCGCCTGCCACGCGCTGCGCCCTCGCCGACAGCCTGGGCAGAGCGGGTGTCTGTCGCTTGCAGGAACCTCCTCCACCGCTCTCTTCCCCTCCTTGGAGACCTCGGGCAGGGCAGCCGGGAGTCGGGGAAAGGCTCCGTACCCACCGGAGGAGCAGGAGGGCCGCTGCGACCTCGGCCGCTGGCCTTCATCACCCTGTCGTCACCGTAACGGCCGCTGACCGAGCTCTTGCTGTGCGCCTGGTGCCACCGTCACACTCGTTCGACTCGCTCGCCTACACCTTAAAACAGCTCCGTGGGGCAGGCAGGACCGTTACAGATGAGCAGACGGGGCCCCAGAGGCCAGTTACCTGCTCGGGGTCCCCACAGGTAGTAAGCGCAGGATCCGGACTCAAGCTCAGGCGGGTGATGCTTCCCTCTGGGTGCTCGGTCCCCGCTCGCAGGTGCCTCTGCCTCCCGTTCGCCTGGAAGGACGCAGAGGTCGTGGGAGTTGCGCGTGGGGCAGGTGCCGCCGACTCCACCCGCGCCCCTCCACCTCCGTGCACTGTTTTCACAGACCCCCAGGTCTTTCCCTTGCACTTGGGCCCGGGGACGACGCACGAGGGGGGCCGCGGCGGGTCCCGCGAGGAGAGCAATGGCCCCCGGCTCATCCGGCTCATCGGAGCGCGGGGCTGGCGGTCTTCGGCTGGGCGCTGCCCCCGACCCCCCCCCCGCCCCCTCGTGCTCCGCTTCTCCGCGTGTGCACCAAGAGCGAAGGGCGGCCAGGCTTGGCCGGAGGTGCCGGCCCGGGAAGCCCTGCGGCGCCAGCGGCTCTGGCCCAGGCCAGGACTCCCCGAGGAAGGGGCGCTGCGGCCAACCTCGGGCGCTCTCCTTCCGCTCGCCTCGCACGGTCCGCCCACAGGCAACCGCACCCCGGATCCCGGATCCGTGCAGGCGCGCTGTCGCGGTGCAAACCCCCGCCTTGGGCCTCCCAGGATCTCCCAGCCCCCGGGGGGGCGGGGGGCGGACAGGAGGCTTGGACTCTGCTGCCACGGTCCATGCTGGAGGACGTGAGCGGCTCGGGGGGGGGGGGGGGGGGGGTAGCGGGGGAGGGGAGGCGAGGCGGTGGGGAAGGTGGGGGGAGGTGGGGTGCGGGAGAGGGAGGGGAGGCGGGGTCGGGGGGAGGGGTGGGGAAGGGAAGGCAGGGGAGAGGGTGGGGGAGGAGTGGGGAGGGGCGGTGGAGGAGGGGAGGGTCGTGGGGGGCGAGGGTGGGGGAGGAGGGGGGTAGGGAAGAGGGGGAGGGGGAGGTGGGGTCGGGGGGAGGGGGGGAAGGGGAGGGTGGGGGAGGGGTGGGGAGGGGCGGTGGAGGAGGGGAGGGTCGTGGGGGGCGAGGGTGGGGGAGGAGGGGGGTAGGGAAGAGGGGGAGGGGGAGGCGGGGTCGGGGGGAGGGGTGGGGAAGGGGAGGCAGGGGAGAGGGTGGGGGAGGGGTGGGGAGGGGCGGTGGAGGAGGGGAGGGTCGTGGGGGGCGAGGGTGGGGGAGGAGGGGGGTAGGGAAGAGGGGGAGGGGGAGGCGGGGTCGGGGGGAGGGGTGGGGAAGGGGAGGCAGGGCGAGGGTGGGGAAGAGGGGGAGGGACGTGGGGGAGGGGCGGTGGGGGAGGGGGTGGGAGGAGCGGGGGCAGTGGAGGAGTGGGGGGAGGCAGGGGCGAGGGTGGCGGTGGGGGAGGGGAGGGGAGGGGGTGGTGGGGGAGGGTCGGCGGCTTGAAGCAACCTGCTTTGGAGGAATGGCTGGCAAGGGCTGGGGGCATCGGCCGCGTGGTGACCAGGTCTCCCCCTTCCCCTCTCCCCTCCCCCTTCCCCCCCCCACCCCTTCCCGCTCCTCCCCCCTCTCCCCCCCCTTGTCTTCACGCCCCGCCCCCGGACCACAGGCCGAGCTCGCAACACACCCGGCTCCGGGGCCAAAGTGCGCTGCGGTCGAGGCGCAGCCTGGGCTGCTGCGCCAACAGGGGCTGACGGCGTCGCGGTCCTGCGTGACGGTGGGTCCCGGGCAGATAAGGAAGCGTCACGCCGCCGTCCGCACGTGGCCGAGCGTCGGCACCAGCAGGCAGGGCCCAGAGCGGAAGTGGAGGGTGCTTCTTGTTCTTTTAAGGTATGACCCCGGAAGTAGCTCCCGTACCTTCGTCTGAAGTCTCATTGGTCAGAACGCCGTCACGTGGCCACATGTAGCCGCACAGGAGCATGGGAAGTGTAGTCTCCGGCTGGTGACCGTGTGGCCCCCGCGCAGGCTGGCAGTTCCATTACAAAAAGAAAAAGAAAGCAGTTGAATGTCGGAGACCATCCCCTGTGACAGAGTCAGGCGCTGCGCACAATGGAGGACGGAGGCTCGGAGAAGGTAAATGAGTCGCCCAAGATGAGCAAGAGGGAGAGAGCGGACCGGGTCCAGGGCCCACGTGTGTAGCGACCGTGTGCGTCTGCCTCGTGGGCACAGGCCGGTTCCCAGCATAGTGCTCACACGTAACAGGACTTCAGTCAAGGTTGCTTCCCCTCGGCCCTAGCCCTAGAGAGCCAGGTCCCAAAGAAGCAGGTTGAGGGGCCCTGCCACTGTCCTCACCCACGCAGGTAGGTTATGAAAAGGAAGTGCAGCAAATAATACTTTTCTAGAACATCGTGAGGCGGTCTAGCCAAATGACATCCTGGATCCTTGATATTTTGGGAAAATAGCATGTAGCCGGGTTTCTCAGAGTGGGTTCTGCAAACACCATTTGGCTTACAGAGCCCGGGGATTGGCATTGACCTTGATGTGCACCAGAGCTTGACAGCCGTGGGTGTGGCATTTACCTGGCACATGGTTACCTGTGGGCACAATCCCAGGCGGTAGGCGGGCAGGACAAGTGCAGCCTCTGGCTTGTGAACCAGATGGATCTGGGTTCAAACTCAAGCTCTACCACTTGCCAGCCTTGTGAGTCTGGACAGAGTACTGCAGCATTGTGGCCTCAGTGTCCTCATCTGGTAAATGGGCGTGAAAATGCCTGCCTCCCCGGATGGTCCTTTCGTTCGGTAAATATATGTTGAGCACACACCACGTGCTAAGTCCTGCCCTAGGCATTGAGCAGAACACGTCGGACCTGCTCTCATGAGCTCATGTGATGGTGGGGAGACCGAATAGGCCGGGAAAATGAGTAACGTGCAGTGTTTGCTCTTCACTTGTAAGTGTTACAGACCAAAGTGAAGCAGGGACAAGGCAATTGGATCCCCGCAGACATAGGTGAGGTGTCCAAAGAAGGCTCCACGGAGGTGACATTTAAGGGAGTCACACCACTGCTCAACAGCAGCAGCATTGTCAGGGGAGGGATTAGCATGGTCTGAGGCAGGAAGAGGCCTGGGAGCCGATGTGGCTGGAGCAGAGAGAGCAAAGGGGGAGAGCAGGACGGGGTGGGGCTGGGGGGCACTGAGGGGACAGACGATAAAGGGCATCCAGAAGCTATGAGGCTTTAGCCCTATAGTTGTTGGGACCGAAGCCCTTGGAGGGTTCTGTGCAGAGAAGTGGCATCACTGAGCTTATCTGTCACCAGAATCCTCTGGGAGATACGCAGAGGCTGCTCCCCGTGCTAAGAGGCATGCCGGGAAGCCGGAAGCCGAGGCAGTGGTCCGGCAGGGAGAGCAGCGCTGAGATCTGATGAGATGGCGTGATCTGATCAGATGGCCTGGCTGGCATCGCTCCCCCCCGTGCCAGCTCATGGGGCTTGTGATGGCCACCCCAAAGCCCTGCACACACAGGAGAGCACCCAGCTTTCCCACTTGAGGGAAGTGCCCAGGCCCCCTGGAAGCTTTGGCAAGAGTTTCTCGGAGCCCAGGCCTCTCAGTGTTGGGCCTGCTCCCCACGGCACCTGGGCTGGCGTGTGCGCCTAGGGAAGGGGCTGCGCAGTGGTATCTCGGTCATGCAGACCTCTCGCGTGGATGCATCGGCTCAGTGGAATTTTCCCACCAACAGAGCACACGGAATTAGCTGGATCGCCTGTCACAGTCACTTGGACACGCTGCAGACCCAAACCCAGGAAGGGGGGATGGAGCTCAGGTGGTCTCTGGCAGCCTCTGCCAGGGTCCCTCGTGGGTCTCTGCGTCGGCCTCTTGCAGCCCCAGCGCACTGTCGGTGTCCGCCCCGCCCCTCCGCCTGCCCAGTCCCCTGCTGCGTGCCGGGAGGGGAGGTGGAGGCTTGGGGAGAGGAGAGGGCTACTGGCTGTGGACCTGCCCGAGCACCTGCGTGGCGCTCCCTGCGTGTGTGCGTGTTAGGCTGGATACCTGAGCATGAGGGC